AGTAACCAATCGGCTGGCTGCCCTGGAGTCCTTCAAGTCTTCAACAAAGTCTTCCAGCTCGCTGCGGGAGCAAGGACAGCAGCACAGAGAGCTGAACACCGGGCCTCACAGAGGCAGTGCGGGGCCCAGTGCCGGTCTCAGCCTCTGATTTTGTATAGAGCCCCTGCCCCTCCCCTGCCTCTACTGTGGTGGTGGTGGAGAGGGGACGCTCATCTTTAACAGTGGCTGGGAACATTTCGCAATGGTGTGAGGCAGAAACAAGGAGGTTTTTCCAGGGAATGTTCCACATTGGCCCAAGGGACGATTGTGCCTGGCTAACAGAGGACCCAGTCTTTATATTCAGTGGTGCTGATGCTAGCAGAGGGACGGAGGGAGGGATAGGTGGAAGGAGGGGGAGGGGGGGGGAGAGAGAGAGAGAGAGAGAAAGACAGAGAGAGAGAGAAAAAGACAGAGAGAGAGAGGGAGACCGACCTGTGGTGCAGTAAAACGAGAAGCCCACATTGATTAACATCAGGCTTCTCAACTTTAGCATTTGACATTTTGGGCCCGCGTAATTCTTCGTTGTGGTGTGAGGAAACTGCACGGTAGGATGTTCAGCAGCCCCCTGGCCTTCATCTACTCAATGCCAGTAGCAACCTTGCCTACCCCAACTTGTGACAAACCAGAATGTCTCCAGACCCAGACACTGTCCAATGTCCCTGGGGAAGGGCGAGCAAAATTGCCCCTAAATGAGAACCTCTGGTTTATACTGATTGTCCCATCAACAAGGATGAGCGCTTTCTTCTCCAGGCTACCAAGAGAAGAAATGACTGCAGAAAACAAAAATGACGACAGATGTGGTGTCTGTGGATAGAGGGGGATGCTAGCTCCAAGAGAGGGAGATCGAGGTCTCACCCTTGAGAAAACAGTAACCTCCTTGGGCACATTACTAACCCCATCCTAAACACCTACACATCTAAAAGAGAAAAATCTCTCTCGAGGAAGCAGGGAAAAAGAACTTTCGGAAACGCAGACCGTTTCGGAAATGGCGACCACTAGGGGGCGGTAAGTGAACAGCGATCCCACCTCCTGGAGCCCGGAGTGTGGAGCCAGCATCCGAAAGAAAAAAAGGAATGCACGGCGTCATATGCAAACAGATGGCCCTCGAAGGCCCTTTCCACTTAGGTGGGCAAGTGGATAGAGCTCTGGGTCACATGGCAGCTGCGGGAGGGGTTCAGGCAGGATGCCACATGTATTCAACAGGATCCCAGGGAAAATGACAAATTCCTCCACTGCAAGAAGTGGGATGGAGTTTTTGGTCATGTCTTTCATTCTGTTATGAAAAATAAACCAAAATTGCTTGTGGTCATTTCAGATGAAATGATGCTACTTCAGGACCAGAGGGGGAAAGCCTCATCTGCTCATTGTCCACGTCTGTGAACTATGGAAAGGGGCTCAGTGTTCTGTGAACATACCCGCGGGAAACTTCCTACAGCTATTGCATTCTTGACAGGAAGAGATTGTGCCACCCCACTGAAGGGCTCTAAATATGGTAACTTCGTGTGGAAAAGTTCTTTTCCATTGCATAACCAAACAGAATGACTTCCCTGCATTGACTGGACACAGTGTCCAGTCCTGCAAAGCTTTGCTGGAAGAGCTAAGACACAAATATTATCCTGGTTCCGTTAACAACCAACATGTCTGTCAGTGTGTAATTAATACTGCAAGGGACTGTCAGCTGACTCAAAGTCAGCCTGCCTAGAATTCTGTTTTCATCTCTTCTATACAATATACCTCTTGGATTTCACAACCTTGCACACAGAGGCTCTTAAACTTCACAGCTTTGTGGAATATACAGAAATGTATATTGATACGATGGTACACAACAATGTCACTTCTATGCAAATGTTTATGATACCTATTTTAGATAAAACATTAAAATTCAAATTTATTAATTCAAAAATGTAAGAGAGACATGGGGCTAAAATGAATGCTGGAAATACATTTTTGACATGGTAATCATGACTTTTGAAATACCAGCTTCGCTCCACAGAATGTCAGATATTCATAGATGTTACAGTTTATAGCATTCTATTTGTTTAAGTTGCTTTTCATCATAGTGTTGTTAAAAAGAAGCATCCAGTTTGTTGGAATATATTTCACCTGACTATTATTAGAAGACCAATTATTATTTTCATGTAGAAATTATCTAGACCCAATTTCTTTTCATAGTTTTATTTTTTATTTTTAGACAAAGTCTATCTCTGTCACCCAGGCTGGAGTGCAGTGGCCCGATCTTAGCTCACTGCAACCCCCGTCTCCCGGGTTCAAGTGATTCTCTTGCCTCAGCCTCCTGAGTAGCTGGGATTACAGGTGCCCGCCACTATGCCCAGCTAATTTTTGTATTTTCAATACAGATGGGGATTCGCCATGTTGGCCAGACTGGTCTCTAACTCCTGACCTCAAGTGATCCACCCACCTCGGCCTCCCAAAGTGCTGGGATTATAGGTGTGAACCACTGTGCCCGGCCCATCTCATCATAGTTTTAGACCCAAAAATAATCTCTCTGCCTTCTGAATGGCTCGCCAGTAATTCAACCTAACATGAGTTGAATATAAGTCTCCACAAGGAGGCTTATATTCTAGTGCTTGGAAGAAGAAGGACAAGGAGGAAAAGGAGAACGAGGAGGGAGAGGGGAAGGAAAGAGGGATATTGCTGTTCTGGTATTCCAGAGTTGAAATTCCTGGCTTTTAAAAAATAAGCTCTTTTTAAAAATCGACGCATACTAGTTGTGAGTTTTGAGGTACATGTGATAATTTAGTACATATAATTTGTACAGATCAAATCAGTGTACTTGGGATATCCGTCACCTTAAATATTTATCTTTTTTTCATGCTAGAAACATTCTAGTTCTTCTCTTCTAGCTATTTCCAGCTGTCTTTTATAACCTGCTCTCTTGTCATTCAGATCTAGCCATCCAATCAGTTAATCTGCTTTATACCTTATAGAAGGAAAATTTACACTACCATTATTAAAAGGATATATATGTATATAGTTATTTTTAATTGCTCTTTTTTTTTAACAGGGTTTTGCTCTGTTACCCAGGCTGGGATGCAGTGGTGTGATCATGCAGCCTTGACCTGCCAGGCTCAAGCCATCCTCCTACCTCAGCCTCCTGAGTAGCTGGGACCACAGGTGTGTGCCACCATGCCCGGCTAGGGTTTAGTTTTTATTTTTAATTTTTATTTTGTAGACATGGGGTCTCCCTATGTTCCTATGTTGCCCAGGCTGGTCTTGAATTCCTGGGCTCAAGCGATCTTCCCACTTCAGCCTCCGAAAGTGCTGGGGTTGCAGGCAAGAGCCACTGTGCCCAGCCAAAAGGATATATATTTCAAAAGGTGTTTTAAAGAAAAATTTTGAGAGCTAGTCGTAGGTGGTGAATACCATAGGACGTTTTGCATTTGACTTCATTCTTACTTTCACTGCTTGGTTCAGGCCTCATTGCCTTTTGCCTGACGGAGACAGTAGCTTCCCATATGGTCTCCTAGTCACTGATCTATTTTCCCCTCAATCAGTCCCGCACATGATCACCAGAGGGACCTCGCTTCAATACAACTCTAGCTTTGCTACTTCCTTGACCAAAAACAAAAACCAAAAAAACCCAAACACTCAGTGTCTTCCTCATCGTTCTAGGCAGTAACTCTCAAATGTGAAGGTGCTTCAGAATCACCAGCTTTGTTTGTAAACTGCAGATTCCTAAGCTCCATCCACAGAAATTGTGAATCCGGGGTTGAACCCCAGAACATTCAAGAAAAGCCAGAAATACAGATTTCTCTTAAAGAATCTTCCAATCTCTGTAGGCACAGCCCAGACAGGCATCAAGCAGGTACGTGAGGCCTTGAGTATGGTCTAAGATACAGGAAGTCAGTGTGCAAATGGAATGGCACTCCCCAAATATGGGATGTGTATCTTGCACCCAACTCTCCTGCCTAACTGGACTGCTACCCAGTTCTCCAAAGACATCTTGCATTTTCCAGGCCAGAAACTTGTTGGTTTGCAGGGTTCTACTGCCCGGAAGTCCTTCCCTGTCTAGCCTCTGCTGATGCAATCTCCCCATCTTCGAGGCCATCTCAATTGAGTTTAACCATTTCTTTCTTTTTTTAGAGATTGGGTCTTGCTCCAATATCCATGCTGGAATGCAGTGGCGCAGTCATAGCTCAATGCAGCCTTGAACGCCTGGGCTCAAGCGATCTTCCTGCTTCAGCCTCCTGAGTAGCTGAGATTACAGGTGCATGACACCACACCCGGCTGATTTTTTATTTTTAGTAGAGACAGGGTTCTGCTATGTTGCTCAGGCTGTTCTTGAATTCCTGGTCCCAAGTGATCCTCCCACCTCAGCCTCCCAAACTGCTGGGACTATACGTGTGAACCATTGTGCCCTGCCTAACAAACCATTTCTGAAACTACTATGTGCTAGATACTGTGTGTGGCCTGTAGGTCATACAAAGAATGACTTCATTCAGGTTAAGTCTTCCTGATCCCTGGGTTAGTCTCTCTTTTGTGTGGGTAAAACTGGTACCTGTAAATCCCGTGTTTGGGGCTATACTCCTATTTATCAGGTTGGCTTTGCTAGACTGAAGATTCTTAAGGGCTCTTTGCATATCTTACTCATCTGTGGCCTTCCCACAAATCCAACCAGATAAAGCCCTCTTATGATATGTTCGTTCCATTACTTTTTCTATCTCATTCCTATGCTAGGCTGTAATCTCAGAATATTATTGAGATTAAAGATGACTTTTCTGGCCAGAAGTGAGAATTATTTCAGCTAACCAATAAACACAATTTTTTTAAAAAAGAAATTTACTGACCGGGCACAGTGACTCACGCCTGTAATCCCAACACTCTGGGAGGCTGAGGCAGGTGGATCACCTGAGGTCAGGAGTTTGAGACCAGCCTGACCAATATGGTAAAACCCTGACTTTATTAAAAATACAAAAATTAGCCAGGTGTTATGGCGTGCACCTGTAATCCCAGCTACTCAGGAGTCTGACATAGGAGAATTGCTTGAACCCAGGAGGCGGAGGTTGCAGTGAGCTGAGATCATGCCACTGCACTCCAGCCTGGGCAACAGAGCAAGACTCCATCTCAAAAAAAATTTTTTTTCATAATTTTGTTGGAAAATTTATATAAACGTTATTAAAAGGATATATGTTTTTATTTTTATTTTTACTATTATTTTTTGAGACGGAGTTCTGCTCTGTCACCTAGGCTGGAGTGCAGTGGCACAATCTCAGCTCACTGCAACCTCCCCCTCCTGGGTTCAAGCAATTCTCTTGCCTCAGCCTCCTGAGTAGCTGGACTATAGGCATACACCACCATGGCCAGCTATGTTTCTTTGTATTTTTAGTAGAGACAGGGTTTCTCAATGTTGGCCAGGCTGGTCTCGAACTCCTGACCTCAGGTGATCCGGCTGCCTTGGCCTCCCAAAGTGCTGGGATTACAGGTATGAGCCACTGTGCCCAGCCAGGATATGCATTTTAAAAGAAGTTTTAAAGAAGAATCTGGAGACCTAGTTTTAGATAATTGGGCTGTCACAAAAACATTTCAGACAAATAACAGCCTTACCAACTCATGGTGGGTGATTAACTCTGCCTATAAATGTGTGAACTAAGTAGAATTTTGGAAGCTATTTTGAGATGTGGATGAACAGTGGCCTGATTTAATTTATTAGGAAAAGAATAACTCAAATTGAAGTTTTTGTTTTTTTTTTTTCTCCCCTCTAGACTGCTGAGAGGGACACTCTAATTTTAATCAAACACATTAGGTTGGTATCCAGGGCGATATGAGCCACAGCTCCAACAGGAGATAGGTGATTGAACACAATGCTTTCCATCATGGAAACCTCTTCTCATTATGGCCATGAGAAGAGTTTGCAAATTGTTCCCTTGCAATCCCAATTTGAGAGATTTAAGTTTTCCAAGAAACAAGAGAATTATCAACACTGGAGAAACCCCTCAAAATTACTATTCATTATACTAAAAGGTGAGATAGTTCTATGATAAATCTTCATTGCATACCAAAATATACAATTACCATAAACGATGTGCCTGCCTGCTGATGGGGGAGTAATAAAATTCTGCTCATTTCAATAGTAGGAATTGATAGATGCTTTCAATAAGAATCTTAAATAACATTCATAACAGCTAAGGAAGCATCTTTCATTCGGGATCAGATACCCTTTACATTTAAATTCTTCTTTTGCGATTTTAACTACAGTTGAATAATAGGAAGATAATTTTAGTGCTGTGTTATTTTGCCTATTAGTTTTAATTTATTGAGATGAAATATAGCCTTCCTATTTGTCACTGGGTTTTGCCATTTACTCCTTTTAATTTTGTGTATTTCTGAGCCCTGGAGGAGAGAGTATGAAGCTGCAACTCTCTCTCTCTGTTCTTTTTTTTTTTTTTAAGATAGGATCTCCCTATGTTATCCAGGCTGGTCTCGAACTCCTGGACTCAAGCAATCCTCTCGCCTCAGCCTCGCGAGTAACTGGGACTACAGGTGTGAACTACCATGCCCAGCAATGCTGCAGCTTTTAAAGAAATGCAGTCACCTGAGGACCACTGAATTTCCTGGGCCTCCATGGAAAGGTGCTGAAGTGTCCACATATACCACCATCAGCAGAACTCTAACTTATACACAGTAGGTGCTCAATAAAGAGAGGGCAACTGGGAAGGACCTCCTTCTTAGCAACGATAATTTTCCTTTGCAGGTGAAACAGCTCAACATGCAAGTGACTGGCACTCACCACAACTTCTTGATGATCCTCTCTTCCTCATGAAGATATTTTTGTCTCTCTTGCTCCACCAGGACGCGCTGTCGCTGCACAGGATCCTCCAGTCTCTTCATTGTTTCTATCACTTTGCCACTGATTTCCAGCTCGGCCTTCTTCATCATCGCCCTCAGCAGTTCCTGGTTCTGCAGCTGTGAACACAGAAAATCAACTTCAGTGGGCTCTGCCTGCATGAAATGGAGGTGAGTAAATGCCTTGAAGTCTTCAGAACACTTTGGGTAGACAGCCCTGTGGCTGAATCTTTACTTATTTCAGTGAGAAACGAAAGGGAGCAAAGACTGTACATAATGTGGCTTCTTCCACCAACATCTGAATTTTGGCAGCCAACTGACAACCAGACTGCCTGCAAGACAAAGGATCCTTTTTCTACTCTGGTCAATGCATCACGGACAACAGGCATAAACTCTCATTGACGTATCTTTACAGGGAGCAGCACAGGGCACCTGCTTGGGAGCCAAGAAGACTTTGGGTCAAATCGCATACTCTCTCCCTAGCCCACTGTGAGACTTTGGGCCCATTACTTAGACTCCCTTGGTCTTCGTTTCCTTACCTCTAAGGATGGGGAATCCACTTTCCTTGGCCATTCTTGAGGGCTACATGAAATACCACATGGTATAGAACGGGAACTCAACACATGGTGATTTGGCTATGAAATATATCAGTATCAGTTCAAAGAGGGTCCGTGTCCTTCTCATTCATATGATTCCATGTACCACGTACCACAAAATCACAGACCCTTAAAACATAGGACTTTAATGTTGGCAATGATAATGATTCTAGATGAGTCCAGGGTTCTTGGCAATTTATGAACTTCTCTGGATTAGAGGTAGGCTACCTGTATACAGAAGCTCACAATTTCCAAACAGTTTCCAGAACATTCTTGTTTCTCATCCCAGAGAATATAGGAGGTGGGAGCTTTATTCAGGCTTCACAAGAGTCTAGTTGAACACTTGAGTCCCTGGAGCAGAACAATTTTCTAACAGCAGATCCATCAAGTGAATTCATTCAATCAGCCTCCACAACAATAATGATATTATGCCTAGTATATCATCCCTAAAGTTCCACTGAAATATCATTTAACAAATTTCAGTGGTTTCCTTTGTTTTCCGGTTTCATGAACTGGTTTATTGTCTCATGGGGGTGATGATGTCTTTGTCAACTGTCCATTATCCATGTAAATTGAGGGGAAATGCAATCTGACCATGTCACCACCTGCTTAAAACCACATCATGCCTTCTGTTTTCTCTGAATAAAGACAAAACATTTCAACACAGGCCACAAGCAGAATCACCATTAGGTCCCAATATCAGCACTGCATGGTGATGAACTGGCCTCCGGGGAAAGACTGCCTGGGTTCAACTTCCAGTTTTACCACTTAGTAGATGTGTGACTATGGGCAAGCTATTAACCTCTGTGTCTATCCAAAAAAGGCGTAGTAATATCTCATAGCCCGTAGGTTGGTCATGGAGACTCAGTGAGACAATAAAATAAAGTGTCTGTCTCCAATCTAGACCTGAGCACATACCAGCCATTGCTATCAGGGAGCATGAACTAGTGGGTGGAGCCTGGCGTTTTGTCTGGGAGGGAACCACATAGAAATGTACCACTTTTGGTTACTTTCTCTACAGGACTCATGATCATGGTCTCACACCACTTTTGCTAATGTCTTTTTATCGCGGTCTTAAAAACCAGTCAGTCACTATTTTGCTAAAAGGCACCTTTTTTTTTTTGAGATGGAGTTTCACTCTTGTTGCCCAGGCTGGAGTACAATGGCATGATCTCGGTTCACTACAACCTCTGCCTCCTGGGTTCAAGCGATTCTCCTGCCTTGGCCTCCTGAGAAGCTGGGATTACAGGCATGCACCACCACACCTGGCTAATTTTGTATTTTTAGTAGGGACGGGGTTTCTCCATGTTGGTCAGGCTGGTCTTGAACTCCCGACCTCAGGTGATCCGCCCACCTCGGCCTCCCAAAGTGCTGGGATTACAGGCAGGAGCCACCATGCAAGGCCAAAAAGTGCCATTTTTAGAGACTTTGTACAGAGAACAACATCCTCCTATGCTCTCTCTGGCTACAGCCCATTCTCCAGGCACTGGGCAAGGTCCCTTGCCTTGTGGCTAATCTCCCTCCCTGCATGCACCTAGCACTCTGCTCCAGTCATACATCATTTCAGTTCTTCATAGGGGCCAGGCTCCTTTTTTGTTTTTTGTTTTTTCTGAGACAGAGTCTCACTCTGTCATCCAGGTGGAGCGCAGTGGTGTGATCGCAGCTCACTGCAACCTCCGACAGACTCCTTTTTGCCAGGCCTTTGCACCTGCTATTCCCATCTCCCAGAATTCTCTTCCCTCCACCTGGTTAATTTCTGCCCTCCACAGAGTCTCTGGTACACTGTGTCTGGCATATTAGCAGAAAACTCAAAATACATCTGTTGAATGAATGAACTGAATGAATCAGTAACATTGATAAGAACAGGCAACAATGAAGAATCCAAAATTCTTCTCTAAATGGTTGAAACCTGCTGTGACCCATGGGCTCAGATAGGTGTTGGGATCAGCTCTTCCATGCCTTGTCTTGCTCTCACTGCAGGGATGTGGCAGGGCTACAGGTCGGCACTGTTCATATTGGTCAATTAGCCACACACAGCAACACCATGTACTATTAAGATGATTCTCTCAACTTCAGTCCCTGTGTCTAATCCCACAGAGCTCCTGCCTTTGAAGGGGAGGGGGAATGAGTGATGACAGGGATGTGAGGGGAAAATGAGTAGATAATTAAAGGGGTCTAAGAGTGAACAATGCCCGGATCCCAACTGAGAGATTCTCATTTTACCGGTCTAAGGTACTATCTTGTTGCCGGGAATTTCTAAAACTCCTCAGACGATTTGATTTACCACCAAGGATGATTTCATGGCCTAAGAAAAGGGCTTTTGAATAGACAGATGTCACTGTGCCATGGGCTATGGGGCACAGCAGGGCACCTAACCCTCCTGCCCAAATTTTAAAATGAGCTTAAGTAAATCTGGGGTCTGGTTAGATAGTGGATATTAACACTGGATATCACGCTAGACATCATTGGTGAAATATTTGAAATTCATAAAATTGAAAGGTGGGAAAAGTGAGGCCCTGAGAAGTCAAAGGACATGTTCAGGGTCTGCTTGGCAATTATAGAGCACAGTTAGGAATAGAACCAGGTCTTCTGAATTCAACTCATCAATTTCCCCAGCACCCCAAGTTGTTCTTCTAGCAAGGCAGGGAGCGTGCCATTCTGTTCACAGCTACAAGCCGTGTGTGGCACGTGGTAGGTACCCAACACATACGGTTGACACTTGAACAACACAGGTTAGAACTGCATGCGTGGGTCCACTTATATGTAGATTTCCTTCCTCTTCTGCCACCCCTGAGACAGCAAGACTAACCCCTTCTCTTCCTCAATCTATTCAATGAGAAGACGATGAGGATGAAGACCTTTATGATGATCTACTTCCACCTAATGAATAGTAAATATAGTTTCCCTTCCTTATGATTTTCTTAATAACATTTTCTTTTCTTCAACTTACTTTATTGTCAGAATACAGTATGTATTTGAGACAGCAGGCATATGAAAAAAACAAATACAGTATACAATACCTACAACACACAAGACGTGTTAATCAACTATTACTGGTAAGGCTTCCACTCAGCAGTAGGCTATTAGTAGTTAAGTTTTGGGGAGCCAAAAGCTATGGATTTCTTACTGCGTGAGGGGTCAGCACCCCAATCCCCCTGTTGTTCAAGGCACAACTGTATTTGCTTTATGAATGAATCGCAATATAATGTTTCTGAGAAGGATAAGAACATACCGGAAGAATACAACTGGGCATAATGTTTAAACGCAACTAGACTTACTCCACTAGAAGAGGAGGAGAGGGAAAGGCTCTGTTTCAATTCTAGGCTTTGTTATCCTCCTGTCTAGAAAGCGGGGCCTTACAGGATCCTGCTGAGGGTACTAAAGAGGGAAGCTGTCATAGCTCACTGGCTGGCATGTGGGCAATGAGGAGTGAGTCGTGAATGAACAGGGTCTACACAGGTTCTGTGTCTGCTTTCCCAGTCCCCCCACCCTCCCTGCCTGGTGTTCTTGCCACTGTCTCCAGGCTGCAGGACAGTTCCTGCTTATCTGAGCACAGTGTAAAAAAGTGCTAAATATAAGATGTGGATCACCATCTTTCTCTAAATGCGTCAAGTCAATTAGTTAATGGAAACTCAAATTGTTAAGTTGGTTTTTGCTTAAGAGGTGATACCTGCATTTTAATAGTTAAAATCAATTGTCTTGAGGCACAAAGTTTACAAACAATAAAACATATCCATCTTAAGTGCACAGTTCAATGAATTTTGACAAATGTATACACTGATGTAACCACTGCTGAAAAGACAGCTAAATATTTTATCACCCTAAAAAATTCCTTTGGGATCTTTTGCAATCAATCCCCAACCCCCAGCCCAGAAAACCACCAGTCTGCTTTCTGTCATCATAGATGAGTTCTTTGTGTTCTAGAACGTTATAAAAATGGAATTATATAACATGTACTCCTTTGTGTCCAGCTTCTTTTGTTCAGAATATTTTTTTCTGAGATCCAGCCCTGTTGCTGAGTTTTTCAGTGATTCATTCTTTTATTGCTGAGTAGCATTTCATTGTACAAATGGATATAACAAAATTTTAATATTTGTGTACATTGACTTGATTCTTGTGATCTTGCTCAAGTCACTTATTTCTTTTCTTTTCTTTTTTTTTGAGATGAAGTCTCGCTCTGTCGCCCAGGCTGTAGTGCAGTGGCACGATCTCGGCTCACTACAAGCTCCGCCTCACGGGTTCACACCATTCTCCTGCCTGAGCCTCCCGAGTAGCTGGGACTACAGGCACCCGCCACCACACCCAGCTAATTTTTTTTTGTATTTTTAGTAGAGACGGGGTTTCACCATGTTGCCAGGGTGGTCTCGATCTCCTGACCTTGTGATCTGCCCGCCTTGGCCTCCCAAAGTGCTGAGATTACAGGCATGAGCCACCATGCCTGGCAAGTCACTTATTTCTAGTAGCATGTTTTGTAGTTTTGTAGATTCCATTTAATGTTACACGTATACAATCATGTCATTTGTG